GCGTACCGGACCGTTTTCTTACTCGAGGCGACGAAAACAAGGATGATTGTGACAGAACAAATAGAAGAGAAGAGAGAGAGAGAGAGAGAGAGAGGCGCGCAAAGTAAATTTATATACCGAGCACTGTTGTCCCGCGAGATAATTAACGAACTATTTAAAGGTGTAAGCTCCTCAATCTTTTTATACATGCTGGCATATACACGCTCCTTTTGAATCGAGCATTGCGCACACTCGACCGATTTCAACTGACGATCGAACAATGCGTCACCTTGCTTCCTTGCTCCTTTTCATCCCTTTCAGTTGGAACGTATCGCGGCCGATTCAGCGATTCGCCCTTGAGAAGAATAAGCCTCTGATTGGTGGATCTCTCGAATAGGATCAATCATCTCTGTTTTCCACGAAAGCGAGACCGCGCTCTATCTCAACTGTTATTTACGTGCCTTGTTACGTACATAGTATCTATTAGATATATTGCATAAATAAACAATGTACGACACATTGGAATAATCGTTTGAAGTGAAGTTACGTAAATGTTTAAATACGTTTATATTACGGTAAATATATTATCGTGTCACGGTAATAATAGTGCATTGAATTTAACCTTGAATTATAAAGTTTTAAAAAATTATTTTATTATTAAAAAATTGAAAAATTTGAATTCATTAATATTTCTACGCGATTAATAATTATATTTCAAGAATCGAACTCATTTTACGCTGATAATTTATTTCAAATCAGAAGTTTCTTTTCATAATATAGCGATAATAATCATTATCATTATACTTTCAACAACAATTTATATTACTTTAGATTTATTTTTAAACAAATTTTTCTAATTTATTTTTATTAAAAAACCAGACAGTCGATAAAATCTTCGTTATTTTTACTTTGAGAAAATGATTTGATTGAAAATCTGCGGTTAGCGTTATTAAGTCGGATTGAGTAATAAGAAAAACTTTGCTCGCGATAGGAAAAGATGCACGATTTTTAAAAATTTCCTCGCGCAAAAAGACTTTGTACGTATTAGATTTTTCTCTTTCCAAACGTTTGAAACAACAATTTATCACGAATTACACGAACATTATTTATTACATTTTTCATTATTATACGAATATCAATACGTATTCACGCGTGATACGTTTCCAAGCGCCACGCTAAACCATTTATAAGATAATATGCAACTTTTATGTAAATGGGAAAGTTATACAATTTTTTTCTAACGTTAATTAAAATTAATAGCATTCGTGTGAGATAAAGACGATGATACGACAAAATGTATATACCTCTTACTCACGCATCGAATGATAATGATAGATGACAGACACTACTAAGATAGATGATTTTTCAAAAAATGATATATTCGATCGTTTCGCGCGATAAAAGTATCATTTCCACGAAGGAGGAGTTTCTTTTTTGAAATCCTCTTTTGAAATTGATGATTCCATTTCGTTTTTTTTTTTTTTTCAATTTCATTGAATCAAGTTTATTTTTATTTTTTAACCGCGAAAAATATTGGAATCCTATCCAATGTAGCCAATAGTTTTTTTCAGACACGCTGAACCGAGGTCGGTCGAGGAAAAAGCAGCGATCTTTTGTTCAACCTTGATTGAATTCTTCAAGATGTGGAACAGCTCAATGATAATGGTATATCCGACCGGAAAATTTCGTAATTGCGTCATATATTTATAAAACTCGAATATTTATTTATACGCGTATTAACGTTATTTTACAATAGTATAATAATATTTGCTTAGGTTAAATAGGTTGGAGGATTAATTCTATTATCTCAGAGATACCATCTTTCTACGAATTGTTTTCTTCGATTCGTTGATCATTTCTCGAATTCGCATGCGAAGAAGTCGAAGCAAAAGATATCGATTAATACGTGAACTTTAACCGTCTTAAACATTATTAATCTTAACATTGCAATTTTCAAAGTGCAGTTTTATTTTTCACGATCGAGGATAACATTTACGTTCCCTCGACGAGAGAGAATTTTTCCACAAACTTTCCCGTTGCAACGGGATTTTCTTTTTCTCGAACGCGAGAATCTCGTTAAACGAAAACAACGAATTACAACGCTACAGTTTCGTGTCTAATCTCGATCATCGGTACATCCATTCTAAACCATTTTAACTAGATTCTTGCAAATTCGCCCGATACAAGTCGGTATACAATTTCGTTCCGGGAGCGTGCACAGCCTCGAAACCGAATTTATCCAAAAGTTTCTTACAACCTTCGTACCAAGTTGCCAGATTGTCGTATCGGTCGATATCGAAGCCAAAACACTGTTAAAATACACATTCGATGCCTTTAATAGATGTATCATTCTTCGAATTATCTTATTTTATCATCTCTGCTTACGTTCTCCTCTGTCTCTCGTTTATAATTGTATATCTTATAATAAAATTATATTATATAATAAATGTTTACACGTCTCCTTTATAATTATATATATATATATTATAACATTATATAATAGAAGAAAACGAGACAGTGGTAGGAGAGAGAGAGAGAAGATAGATAGAGAGATGATTATATATCGCGTGTATACAGGATGAAAACACACTTACCAAGAGGACGCAAATGGTCGTGTGGATGGCAAAATCGGCGATGGTGAGAGCATCGCCGGCTACGTACTCGCGATCCTCGAGATACGCGTTCAACACCTCGCACGATCTCTCCACGGCTTCTACGTTTTCTTCTTTCAACGAATGCGCCCCGAAAAATATTATCGAGTACTGTGCACACCGAATCAAATCAAATTGTGTGCTTTCAAAACGATAGCTCTCCAAGATAGGGTATAAGAGTATCACGATATATATATATATATATGTATAAAATACGTACGTAACATTTAACCACGTTCTCGTTAAGGGTGCCGATGTCGAAATATAACATTTGATCCACGACACCTCTCTTCCTTGGATCTCTCGGATATAAAGAATCGTTTTTGGCGTATTTGCTCACCAAGTATCCCATGATTGGCCGGCTGAAAACAAGCGCGTGTACGAGTTATTATTATCAAAGAGCGAAAAATGTGGAAAGATGATGGTACCTTTCGCACAAAACGAACCCATTGTCGTCTATCGTCGGTATTACGTGTTGTGGATTCAACTGTGGATCATCGTTTTCGTCGATCAATTAAGCAAATTTTTAACGTTTTATTATAAGCGTGGACATACGTAAATGAAACTAGGGAGGGAATTACCTTCACAAATTCGGATTTCATGTGTTCCCCTTTCAAAGGGGAGATCGTTTTCAAGTTCAAATGGACGCCGATCGCTTTTGCCAGCAATAGAACCGACCGACACGGTGGACTATATTCCAAGTAATAAAAATCAATCGGCATCTTTTCCTATTCTCTTTGTTTTCTCCTTTTTTTTTTTTGGAATTTTTCTCCACTTTCTTTTTCCTTTTTCTTCTTTTTTATTTTTACCGCAACGTCTTTGCGACAACGTCACCGCACACGATTTTTATACAGTGGATCAAGAATAGAGGAAATTTCTCGAATTTCTCTACGCTTCGTATTTGCATGCGTATATCCTGCATACAAATTTAACCGTCTCTTCTCTCTTGTGTTTCGAATTCTATGGATGAGAAGGATTATCAACCAAATTGCATATGGAATTTTATGGAAATCCTTTCCAGAAGAGGTATAAAGAGTTACGGCAAGTAAAGTCAAATAAATGCCATTTCCAATCTTTCTTTCCTCGATTCTTTCTTCAATTATCTCATATCGATACGATCGCTGTTGACGTTACCATAATTCAATCTTCATTTGGATGGAATTGAACGCAACGAAGTTGAAGTTTATCATCACGTATTCTTATGGAACGCCCCGAATTGGAAAACTTATTAAATTTCCATGGTATTCATTGGTATTCATCGCATTTTGAAACACAAGAGAAGAAGGAGAAATGCAGAAGGGGGAAAATCATCGAATACCGCGAATAATTATTACACAAACGTAACTTTCTATCCCAACATTCCGGCCAAATCCGACGATTAAACGTTGTCAATCATCACGTTTCCTCGCACCTTTTCTTTCCTTCCACGAAATTTTTTCCATTCGCACACGCGCGAACGCTTACTCCTCCTAATTAATTAAGCCGATTGGCCAGCCGATTTCGAAGATAACGAAGCACGAAGCGGCAGAGTCGATTATTAAAGCTCGTTCCGAGAGCGAGTAATAGGGTAGGGAAGGGAAGGCAAATACGTGGTCGAATGGTACATCAAGTTGCCATAGCGATGTCGTAAAGCGTAGGGCAAACATAAGCGTCAAAGTGTAACATGGACGATATCGTAGAACGCGATCGAAGGTTGTAACGCATCTGCAGGATCGATATGAAAACAAGGCGTTCGGTCGGTCGGTTCGCGATTGAAACTGAAAAGTAATCGCGTCGGATGGGTTATCGAATACGGGGGGGGAGTGGTGGCGGATCGTTGGCCAACGTTGACGGCCAGGACAGGGGAAATCGTATTAATCCGTGAACAACGTTTCGCCTGGATGGGGCCGGTTACTACTATTGAAACCGAAAACAACCGCGATGTTTTACAACAAACGAGCCGTCCCGTAACAACAAATCGTAGCCGAATCGTTGCACGGTAAATCGTTCCGTATAGTTTTATATCCATCCGTATCGAGGCTTAATCCAATTGGATATTATACGTGTTTACATCGATCCACGTTTTTAACCATAAATCGACAGCCGTTGCTCACATTGCGCTTCGTTCGTTCTTTATAAAAATTCCTTTTTTTAAATCGAGATGCGATGATATTTCGTAGCCATTCGAACAGAACTCGTTCTCGTTCGTATCTTGGTCGTAAAAAGTTCGGATACTTTTCTTTAGCCTCTGTTTTTTGCAATTTAGAACGAGCTTACTTCCCTCTCTTTATCCTTGCTCCCATCGATTTCTTCTAAGCGAGGAAAAGAGAATAAAGTGGGGGAGAAGTAAATTATATTCTCTTCTATGGACATCGATGGTATCGCGGTGAAAGGAAGAGAGAGAGAGAGAGAGAGAGGGAAAAATAATTAAGATGCAATTCGGTCGTAATAGATATCATTGCGGTTTATCGGAGGAAAGTGAATATTAAAAGGACAATGGATGGTGGGTGGCGAGCACGCGATACAGGGGGAGGAATTGCCGCGGTACGGTCGTGAAACGCGCGCGGTCGTTCATCTCAATAAATTTTCTTTCATTACCGTCGTCACCTGGGAGGCCGGGCCGCGATCTCATTTTACCGGACAATTACACGTGACTTGTTACCGCGATATAATTTTAATTGGCTGTGAAAACGCTGTGCGTCCGCGCGCGTAAGAATAACCACGCGCCATTGCTATTGCTGGGTGTATCGCTACATAGTGTTGTGTTCATAAATTCATAGGGTGGGATCCGTTCTCACGCGCCAATTATTTCACCGTCGGAGCATCAGCAAAACGTGTCGTTTTAACGATGTCACGGACAACTAGAAACATCGATTATTCGACGAACGAGCGTATGTAATTTGGCCGCGAATGAATGCGTCTGCGTGCGACCGCGCCCACCTTCAATTTATTCGCCTACACCATTTCCCGCGACGACATTTTCGTTTAATCGGCGTTTAAACGATTATCAACCCGATCGTAAATAAAACTCGCATTAATCGGTCCCACGATATTTTCTATTAACGAAAACGCCCGTCGATTCTCGTTACCTTCGTTACCCTTCCTTTCCGATAGATCATTTCATCGATCGCGCGAATTTATACGAGCGAGAAAGTTTTTACATTTTCTTTTTTTTTTTCCTTTCCTTTTCTTTTCTTTTCGATTCGAAACTTATCGATTCTCTTCCTCTTCCCCCTCTTCCTTTTGTTCCCGCATCTTTGTCCACGATCTCCGTAACGACCAGTAAATTCGACGAATCGTCGTCTATAACGCGTATCTTAATTGGCGAAATTCATCAATTATTTGCGCCGTTGTTGTTCAAACGGGCCGTGACGAGGAACGCTGTGCTCTATTCGTCGTCGGAAGCGTAACGAGACGGAACGAACGATAAACCGTTCGACGAGCGCGCCACCGACGAATCGTACCTACCTACCTACCTACCTACCTACCTACCTACCGTTGGTATCAATCTTTCGATCGTTGCCAATTCTAAGAATTATCGAGCGAGTCGATTGTTAATTTCGTCCATCACGAATCGTGCGATTGAAAACGGAGGAGGAGGAGGAGGAGGAGGAGGATGGAACTCGGACGATAACGAAAGAGACGAGGGAGTTCTAGCGGGCGGTCGATCGATCGATCGATCGATCGCCCGTTAAATCGCACGGGATTGATAACCGGTTATCGCCTTTGGCCGACCGTCGATAACGTCGTCGCGAAATGATTTTGCATCTGGCTCGCTGACCTTGCCAAGTTCCGTGGTGACCGAGTTATCGGAGCTAGCGCCGGGCGTGTCTGCGCTGTAACTATCGATTAAGCGTGCGGATCCACTCGAATGGAAAATGGAATGGCCACGATCGTTCTCGGCTCATCGACGACGACGCCGCCGCCGCCGCCGCGCTCGTGGAAACAAGGCATCTACCTCTTTCGTTTCAACGCCTTCGTCATCGCCCACGAGATGATCGCTCCTTCAATTTCCCGCCTTTTTTTCCCGCGTCTCTGGGAGAGAGAGAGAGAAAGCGTATACGAGAACAAGGATCGAATTTGCAAAATTTTGCAATTGATCGACGATTGTGAATTTACGTATCGACGCAGATTCGTGACGCAGGAGGAGGGGATAGGATGATACCGTTCGTAGGAGTAGGATTTCGTTTCACCGTGAATATTTCATTTGTAGAAATAGCTTTGTTCGATAGGTTATGAATTATTCTCGAGGATCTCGAGATGGGACGTCTGGTTTTAATTTTTATGACGATCCGGGTTGCGTGCAATCATCGACGCGTCTTGTTAATCGAAAACCACCGTGTTCCGACGGATCAAACTTTTCGAACGTAATTTAATCGTTATTATCGTATATATTTTGCCGGGCAAATATCCGTGCGAAACTATGCGAATGTATACGCGAGAAGAGGATCGTTCGATTTTACGTCTTAGGGAGAATTTTCATCGAATTTCCCGTTGAAACCAGGAAAGGAAGGCAGAGGAGGAATAGTTTTTCATTTAATTAGCTTCGAGCCAAAATCGAATTCTCCCTCCTTTTTTTTCGCTCGAGCGGGGGATGAGTGTGGGGAGGGGAGGGGTGAACGTTTTGGCGAAATTAATCCATTGCTATATTCACCAAACACCATCCATATTCCAGACTGTGGGTTAATTAACATCTAAATTTCCATCGTTGCCCGCCTTAATTGATCCACTTTATTACACATTCCAGGGGTGGGGGGTGGGGGAGGGGGCTAGTTTATACGAGGTGGTCGGCCGCCGTTCTCGAAAACACACACCGATCGCTTTCATCGATATCCCGTTAAGAGCAGATGTATTTTACGAGCGAGGTTTCCAGCCAAAAGTGATAAATTTTCAACCAGCCAGAAACCTGCTCCATTACATAATCGCCCTTCTTCCCCCTTTTCTACATATTCCCTCCTATCTCCCCTAAAATTTAACCTCCCTCCCACCGATCGAATTTAAAGGAATAGAGACAGATCTCCTCTTTTCCTTCTACTCTCGCAAGATTTTCGAGTTTAATTAAAATCGAAGATCGACGGATCGTGGAAGGATGGACACGAGGAGAGGATACGTGTCGGACGGGGAATAAGAGAAGGTGGTGGAGGATGGATGACCGATGCGGGAGGACAGAGGTAAAAGATCAAAGGATCTCCTTGACTAACGGCGGCCATCCTCGAGGAGGGATACGTCGACGACGACGACGACATCTCGACCGTGAAAGCCGTATGGTTGCGATAGAGCTGCTCTCCCTTCCTTTTCCATGCATCCCCGCAATCCGTTCCCTTCTTCCTCCTCCTCCTCCTCCTCCTCTTCTTCTTCTTCTTCGTTTTCAATGAGGGGGTGGTGGTGGGAGGAAAGATATTACGAGTTTCAACGAGTTCCACGGAGTTGCACGAACTGTCGACGCGTTACCTCCCCGCCTGCTGTCTCGAGCCCCGCTGTCAAGGGAATTGGCTGTTACGAGATACGCTTGTTATTCCGTATCCGGGATGACGGGTCTGCTCGAATTTTAAACCGTCGTCAAAACATTACGCGTGAACCAGAGACGAGTCGAGGACGACGGAAAATCGTCGATAATCGCGACATCGTTCGATTATCATTACTTTTCTTCCTTTTCGAAATTAAAATTTCGAACGCTCGTCGTCCCTTTCATTTTTCGTTTTTCTTTCTCGTTTCGAAAAACGAAACGCATCGGTCGCGCGCACGTGCGTTGCGCGTGGCTTAAAGCCGGGAGGGGAGGGGAAAGGCCCGGCATTGAAAAGAGCGTGCGTCCACGGTTTTTTTCCGTCCCGTTAATTGGAAAGAAGGAAAAAAAAAAGAGAGAAAAAGAGAGAAAAAACTTGGGGATTCGCTCGTTACCGCGGCCGCGCAACGATTCGCGCAACGATTCGCGCACAAAAGCCACTACTGGAATTTCATAAGCCTTTGAAAGTTCACCCGCGCCGCGCTACTTTGATCCTCGACCGCGGCCCGAAAAGTCTTTGAGCCGGCTATGTCATGCAAGAGTATTGCCGACGCGAGTTTCCAACTTGCCCGATTACCAACGACTTTCCATGCGAGTCCATCGATTAATACGTACAGGGGGAAGAAGAAGAAGAAGAAGAGAGAGAGAGAGAGAGAGAGAGTGAAAAAAAGGCGAAGAAGATTAATTAATCACCATTGATGGAAATCATATACTCGACTTTTTCGAAGTATATTTTCTAATATTTATCCTTTGTTAGAAAATATCAAGGGAGATTTATTAAAGCATTTCAGGCATTCGTATAAATCTTTGCTATCTTCGTCCCCGCGAAGAAACGAGCTCGATGCAATCTCAATTTTTTACGATTATTAATAGACTTTTCGTCCATCTAATTCTCCGAATGGAATGGATCGCATCGATCGTTCGGAATTTCGATAGAAATTAATAGAAATTACACAATGATTCGAATCGAAACGATAGGTTTCAATCGGATCGACGAAAATTTTAATCGATCGTTCCTTATCCACGTCCCTTTTCAATTCGCAATTGATTATCCGCGCTCAAGATACGAGAGGAAACCAGGCTGTACAATAATAATACGTAAAGATAGAAACGGAAGACAAGCACGAATGGCTAAAATTAATTCCAAAATAAAAATTATCCATCGTGCCGTTTACACTGTGGATAAGATTACTTCGATCCTAATGCTAAATCAACAACGGTATAACGCGCGATCTTAAAATACGAGGAGGAGGCGATCGGTGCGCTTCCGTTCGTTCGCGCTGCCGTGAATCGGCATTAATTCCGGCCAATGGTTTACTCTCTCTCTCTCTCTCTCTCTCTCTCTCTCTC